GCCTTCCCCACCCCCCAGGCCTGCGGGGGCTGATGATCGCTGTGATGATGGCCGCCCTCATGTCCTCCCTCACCTCCATTTTCAACAGCAGCAGTACGCTGTTCACCATAGACATCTGGAGGAAATACCGGCGTAGGGCCAGTGAGAAGGAACTTCTGCTGGTGGGCAGGTGGGCAGGACCCCCCCCCTCCCCACCGGGGGTGGGCACACCTGTCATCATCAACTTGAGCTTAATCAGACCACAATTTTTACCGTAAACCTCAGTTACGTCTGACTTGCGTTTCTTTCATCAAATTAGTTATTTTCATCATCCAAACCCTTTTGCCCACTATCCCACTGGGTGCATAACTTTTGATATAAATAAATATTGCTGAAGAACTAGATTGCCACAACTTTAATTCAGCATTATAACATGCTAACATGCTAATGGCTGTCGATGGTACAGCTAGCGTGAGCCATCAGCCACTGCAGGCGACAAGGTCAGCTTTGTGGCGCATGTTTGTTCTAGGATCGTAACCGTGATCCTGGTGATCATCAGCGTGGTTTGGATCCCCATCCTGCAGAGCGCCAACAGCGGCCAGCTCTACGTTTACATCCAGTCCGTCACCAGCTACCTGGCCCCGCCTGTCACCTCCATCTTCGTCCTGGCAGTGTTCTGGAGGAGGACCAACGAGATGGTGAGTCAGACAGCCGTTTGCCGAGAATGGAGAGTAAATAACGCCAAAGGCAGTACAGTCATTCCCGTGAAGGCGATGGGTATGACAGGAGATTAAAGGCCACTGTCACCTTGTAAGCGAGGAGTCATTTATGCATCCTAAATTACAGTATGTGAACTGAGCTGTAACGCAAGCATCTCAAAAGCAGAGTAACAGCACTCAAACCAACATCTATGAGCATGTTTAAAACAGAAAAACCTTTGGACTTCTTCATTCCTGAGATATGCCGTATTTATAGTGCTGTTTTACGTCCTTTCTTTTATTATTTTCTTTTCCCACAGAAGTCGCACAATGATTGATATCGATAAACCCCACAGCCTCCAATTGCATATCGAGTGACTTGAGTGAATTGTGTGAAACTTTGGAAAACTACGCCAAACAATTGTGATTGTGTGCGTGTGTATGTTTTTTGTTTTTTTTTTTTGCTGTGCCCTCAGTAGATAATCAAGCGGAACCTGACACATCTTCTGGGAGGAAGCTCCCTTTCAATCGAAGTAGGCCACGAGTAACATAATATGTTTGCCGTTACAATTTTGAATGATTTTTCAATGTTTTGTCACCAATATTCTTTGGTTTGTGTCTTAACCTGTCTAAAAACCTGCTTCTCACTTTGCAAAAACATATTCACGCGATCGTGTCGTGGGTGAGTTCCCCATACGGGTTTGGAAAGTCATTACATTGGCGTGGCACGCATACTTTCTATAGAAGAAGTGAGCCACAGGCATCTACAGCACAAGTAGGGTTTGGGTTGTTTGTGTGCAGCTTGCTGTCCTTGCTGCAGTTCTACTCTTCTGGTTTTTCTACATGGCTAATCAGGAAACCCTTGATCTTGACTGACTGCTCCCACAAACCACTCGCCTAATGCACCTAAACACGACTGGGTTGAAGCACAAGCCTGAGACTGCAGACCTTAGGGGTCTGGGAATCAGCGAAGGAGGCCGCTAGTCTGAAATGTGTCAGGTCTTGTGTCTGATGCGCGTTTGAGGATCTCTCTGGTGGAGATTTTTCATAACCACTTATCCGGGTTACGAGGAGTCTGGATACTAGGCTGCTCTATTAGAAAAAAAGTACCAATTTGTACCTTTGAGGGTACAATTACTTGCTACTGGGGCTGTACCCTCAAGGGTCTGCCAATTGTACTCTATAGCTGTAGGTAAATTTACCTTTTATCGTAATTTAAGATACAGAAAAGGACTCTGAGGAACATTTTTGTACCATTATGGGGTATGTTAATTTTGTTTGTACCTTAGGGAACAAAACTGTACCAGGGCTGTACCATTTGTTCTGACAGTGTGCTGCAAGGTTTTCTGAGAGCTCTCCTTCAAATTTGCGATAAGAATGTAAGTTTAGATTGTGGGTCTGATTAAATCAGTTTCCCAATCCAGTCCTCAGAGACCGACAGCCAGTCTGCGTCTTTCCTCCTTGCCAGATAATGTACGGTCTGTGGGTCCCCGAGGACTGGATTGGGAAACGTTGGGTTAAATTACATTAAAGATGCACCTGTTAGGTAATGAATAACAATTCTAGCTTTTTCTGACTGGTCATTTTTGTAATTGTAGCCCTTGATGACTGAGCTGTATCTGTCCTAAGAGATGAGATTGTGTGGCCTTTGCAATGGTTTGTTGCTTATAGAGCCAATGAGAATTATTGCTCACATTGCTGTTTAGGGCCAAGATACTTTGCATGTTGGGTTTTTAATGGCTGTGGTTTTGCCTTTCATCTCCATAGATGTTCAATTTAAAGAGAGTTCAGCACAAGTCATTCTCATATGTAATGTAATTGTATCCAATGTAACGAAGAGTCTAAATATAAAACTATGTAAATGAAGGTACTTCACCAGGAGAGATGTGAATGGGGTGATTCTTTGTTTGCAGGGAGCGTTTTGGGGCTTGATGGTGGGTCTGGTGGTCGGCTTGACGCGGATGATCATAGAGTTTGCTTACCCACCTCCTCGCTGCGGCGTGTACGACCCGCGGCCCTCTGTGCTGCGCAACGTCCACTACCTCCATTTCGCCATCATCCTCTGCCTGCTGACTGGCGTGGTGGTGGTGGTCATCAGCCTCCTCACCGACCCCCCTACGGAGGAGCAGGTCAGCACCTTCTGCCACGCAGTGATATACACGAACACGGGTGGTGACGGATTTACACCGGCGTACAGGCGGGGCTGCAAATAGTGATGTCGTACCAGCGAGGGATACTAATATCTGCCTGCACGCAGATACACCAAAGGCTCGTTTGTGTGAGACCTTCAAACATTTGCAGGTTAAAAACCTGACGTGGTGGACCCTGAAGCCGGACAAGCCGGACCCCGAAATCCCTCTGCAGAAAGTTTCCACCCTGCAGGATCACACAGACCAGCGGACAGACGGTAACGCCTGATGCTTCTTCCTGTACTTGACGGGGCTTTAACTGAGAATAAATGATTGAGAATTTCGGGGGGAATCCATGCTCATTGTTTACAGGAAGTAGGGATTCCCTGATCTGTGGGGCCAGTCCTGTGGTGGTTTATTGGTGAGGGTCTACTCAGATCTCAGGGGGGTCCAGGTGTGGCCTCGAAGCTAGAGCGTCTACTGAGAAACACGTTATTCTCCTCATACACAATACTGGTGGCAATATTGCAGTGATGGGGATTCCCCGGAGGTCATTGCTGCTGTAGCTTTCATCAAAGTAACCTGAATTACTTCCATAAAATATCACACTATTTAAATCTAAAAATGCAAACCTAAACTCCCACAGGGGCTGATGAATGCAGTAAGATGTAATACACATGCATTTCAGTTCCCCTTTACTATGTTGTGTTTTGTTTTTTTCCCCCAAGATGACACCGCTCCAGAGCATCATGGGAAGTGTTCCCGAGGCGCTGGCTTTTGTAGCCCACGGGAAAATCGGCCGACGACACCCCCACTGTGCTCCATAGCAACCACCAGAGAGACACCCTTCTGGTCGCGCTTCTGCTGCGCCAATGCCATCCTCCTCATGTGTGTCAACATCTTCCTCTATGCCTACTTTGCATGACCCCGGGAATGTCGCAGTACCTCCACTGTTACCTGATGGACCTTCAAGTACTTGTGAATACTTGATTCTCTAAAATATTTATTAAAAGTAATGAAAGTACTGTTTTCTACAGAATATGTATTACAACTTGAGCCAAAAAATAATGGGTGAGATCAGTGACTTTAGTAAATTTCCTTCTTTTGTCTCTGTTCTATAGTTGAAGAAAGACTTCTACTCAAATTTAAAATTGATTAATCACTTCCGGCCAGTTTATTAAGCGTGATGTTTTGTGGGTTAAATAAATCTGCAATGAATGAATATTTCCTTCATTATTTTTTTATTTTTGACACAGGATTGTATATACATAAACATATTTTGCAACAAATAAAACATTACCGATACATTACTTATGACAACAGAATATCTGTGTTCATTCCATGTTCCAAACCACCCCCTTGGTAAATAGTGTATGTTCAGTAATTCTGTTTACATGATTTCTTCATCATTAATAGTGATAAGCTGTGATTAGCTCAATGAATAGTACAACAAAATACATCTTAAAATCTTTGCGGGTGTCATTGCAACTTTGGAAGGCTTTATGCAGTGAATTACACATAATGAATGAAAATTCATAAAAACATTTTAACGATTTATCAGCTAATAAGTGCAATACATTGTTTCAAAAAGATAATCGTAACTGAAGTAGATCTTTGCTAAAATAATTATATGGTTATATATTTGATATAGTAACCTTTTAAAATTTCATTTTCATTCCATTAAGCAGGTTCAGAATTCAAGATCAGCATAAACGACAGTTCATTAAAAGCGGCTCTGATTTTATCTGGTCTCCAAGTGGTCCTTTAGTGTCTATGGACGGATGGCAGTTGTACTCTACATATCAAACAGTGTTTTACTTTTTATTAAGGGTGCATTTTTATAGAAAGCCATCGCTTTAGATTCTTATCTCTGGCACAGAGGTTAGTACCTGGGAATATCTGTAATGAAGCCTTAGATCTGTTTACGCCATATACAGTGATACAGGTGAGAGAAACATCTCTACAACAGTCTTTTTTTTTTTGTACGTGCCAGTGGTTCTCGAGCCAGGCCTTATCCATACATGCCAGCTGCAAGTCAGAACCAGTTAATCAGAGGCTGTATAATTAGCCGATTAATCTGGTGCACGGCTGCTGGAATGGATCAAAAATGTGGACCGGCGGGGGGAGGGAATTGAGAACCACGGGGCTCTGCTATAGTGCTTTTGCTTGGGAGATGTGGAACGTGGAACCCAATGGATTGCTCTTCATCGTCCCCCCGTTTCAGCTTTCCAGGCATTCCTCCCAGTCTCCTGAATATTGACTGTCTCTGTACAAAGTCCAGGCCCCAGATGGGATCAAGCGAACAAGACAAGAAGCTGGGATGAAGTGTGTGCAGGTGCCTGTTCTCCCAAGACGGGCTTCCTGCAGCGGCGGGGCGGGGTGGGGGGGGGGGGGGGGGGGTCAGTGATAGATGGGCTGGACGTATTCTGGGGGGAAGTATCCAACACGGCCGTGGCACCGGCCCTTCCAACGCTGCGAGTCAGAACAGTCCAGGAGGTCGATGACCTCACCACGCATGAATCGAAGCTGCGAGGTGTGCTGGGGGTTGAAGTCGAGCAGGGCTTGGGCGTGGCGAGCTCGCTGGGGGGGGGGGGGCAGAAAGGGGGACAGGTCAAGGGCACTGCTTAGCGTACACAGCATCACTGCGCCCTGTCTGCATGCGGAGCGTGTGGGTGGACAGGTGAGAGCCAACCCTCTGCCAACAGCTTCCCAAAGCAGTGTGTGTAATAGAAACGAACAAATATGTTCATGACAGAAGCCCACAAGGGATGGTGATCTATTTACTCAGCGGTGACTTAGCAACCAATTGCGTCTGCCCATCTCCTAGAGCAGGGCTATTCAACTCACGGTCATCAAGGGCCGAGACCTGCTGATTTTCTAGCCTTCCTTCACCTGAGAGCCAGGTGTGAAGCCTCTGACCAATCAGAATCAGTAATTATTAAACTAACTACCTGGGAGAACTGAAAACAAGGCCTGGATTTGGAATCGAGGGCCTGAGTTGAATAGCCCTGCCCTAGAGGAAATGCAAAGGGTACGAATTCTCCTTCTGTAGAGCAGACCTCTTCACTTTTCAGAGATATTTAGGTCAAGATTACAAATTTAGTACAAGATTTCAAATGCTTTACAAAGAAGTACCAGGGAAATAGCTGGGAAAAAGTGTCCTGCTTATTTTTAATTTTATGAACAAGGTCCTTGGCAGTTACCGTGCAGCCATGATGTGAGTCAGTTACCCAAACCTCCGATGTGCCCTTGAGGGCAGTTATAAGGTGTCAAGCAGGGAAAGCTCTGTGTTCTGGCTCATCGCAGCTCAGTGTCAGGCTGTGGTCTCTGCAGCACACTGTGATCTCACAGTGATCCCACAGCGGGACCTGTGCTCCAGGAGTTAACCAGTACTCCTCTGATCTGCTTCAGAAAAACCTACAGACCGTCCCCGACTTACGTCTGGGTTCCATTCAGACAGACAGGTCCTATGTCGAAATGAACGTATGTTGGAGCTGATATATACAGTGCAGCATACCAACTTCCAGCATAAAAAAGCTTCCCAGGCTTCAAAAAAGTTATTTTTTACTTAATTGTTAAATGAAATTGCTTAACAAACCAAACGTCATAGTCTCCCTATCCCACAATGCCCTGTTTTCTTTCATACCGCTGAGATTCTCAGCCTTTTCGTCTTGCTGGCTTGGGTGGTCTTGGTGGTGTTCTGGGATGGGGAGGGCTGTCTGAATCTCTTTTATCAATTTTATTGCCATTTACCAATTATAATGTATACTGTACTTTCCCCGGCAACTGTGTCAGTGGTCGCATGTCACATAGGTCATAAGCATGGAACAATCTGTATGATTTTTATTTAGCTGTATGTTCCTTCATCACCTGCGTGCTCTAATTCAGTGAGGCACTGGCTAGTATCCAACAAAATGCCTTTCTAACGCAAGGCATCTGCAACCGCTCAAGGCTGAGTCCTGGAGGGCTGTCATCAACCGCATGCCCATGTTATTGCACAGACGGCAATCTGTCAATCAGCACATGGGAGGTGCCCTAATTTTTACTTTTACTTTAAGAGACATTCATGAACACTGGTTTCCTCTGGGGACTCCACTCGCAGTCGAAAAACGTGTAGTCAGCTAATTGGTATTTCCAAATTGCCTGCAGTGTGTAGGTGTGTGTGTGAGACTGTACGTGCCCAGCTCTGGACTGGCATCCCAGTCATGGTGTACCCCAGTGCTCTCTGCTGCCTGGGATCTGCTCCAAACCCATCCCGAGACGCTTTACTGGGATAACTGGAAGGATTTTAGAAGATGTATTTTACTTGTATAACAAGTAAGGTGATAAGGTGGATTTCATCGTGACATCAAGTGCTGATAAGAGTAGATTCTGTGATTATAAGCATGTTAACTGAACAGTGTTATCAGTCTGTACAAAGTGCAAAGCTTCTTCGGAAATGGGCTGTGATGTGCTCCTGCCCCATGAAAGTGATACCCCATGTGAATGTGCCACCATGTGATAGTTACCCTGTGCGATAGTTACCCCGTGTGAGTGTTACCCTGTGTGAGTGGGCCCTGTGCGATAGTTACCCCGTGCGAGTGGGCCCTGTGTGATAGTTACACCGTGCGAGTGTTACCCTGTGTGAGTGGGCCCTGTGCGATAGTTACCCCATGCGAGTGGGCCCTGTGTGATAGTTACCCCGTGCAAGTAGGCTCTGTGCGATAGTTACCCCGTGTGAGTGGGCCCTGTGTGATAGTTACCCCGTGCGAGTGGGCCCTGTGCGATAGTTACCCCGTACGAGTGGGCCCTGTGTGATAGTTACCCTGTGCGAGTGTTACCCTGTGTAAGTGGGCCCTGTGCGATAGTCACCCCGTGCGAGTGGGCCCTGTGTGATAGTTACCCCGTACGAGTGTTACCCTGTGTGAGTGGGCCCTGTGCGATAGTTACCCCGTGTGAGTGTTACCCTGTGTGAGTGGGCTCTGTGCGATAGTTACCCCGTGCGAGTGTTACCCTCTGTGAGTGGGCCCTGTGCGATAGTTACCCCGTGCGAGTGGGCCCAGTGTGATAGTTACCCCGTGTGAGTGGGCCCTGTGCGATAGTTACAGTACCCCGTGCGAGTGTTACCCTGTGTGAGTGGGCCCTGTGTGATAGTTACCCCGTGTGAGTGTTACCCTGTCGGAGTGGGCCCTGTGTGATAGTTACCCCGTGCGAGTGTTACCCTGTGTGAGTGGGCCCTGTGTGATAGTTACCCCGTGTGAGTGTTACCCTGTCGGAGTGGGCCCTGTGCGATAGTTACCCCGTGCGAGTGTTACCCTGTGTGAGTGGGCCTTGTGCCATAGTTACCCCGTGCAAGTGGGCCCTGTGCGATAGTTACCCTGTGTGAGTGTTACCCTGCATGAGTGGGCCCTGCGCGATAGTTACCCCGTGTGAGTGTTACCCAGTGTGAGTGGGCCCTGTGCGATAGTTACCCCATGTGAGTGTTACCCTGTGTGAGTGGGCCCTGCGTGATAGTTACCCCATGTGAGTGTTAACCAGTGTGAGTGGGCCCTGTGCTAGAGTTTCTCCATGCAAGTGATACCCCATGCGAGTGTGCCACCATGTGAGAGTTACCCCGTGCAAGTGTGCTCCATGTTACAGAGTTACCCTGTGTGAGTAGGTCCTGTGCAAGAATTTCGGCATGCAAGTGTTTCCCCATGTGAGAGTTACTCCCTGTGAGTGGACCTCATGCTAGTGTGCCCCGTGCGAGAGTTACCCTGTGTGAGTGTGCCCCGTGCGAGAGTTACCCTGTGTGAGTGTGCCCTGTGCGAGAGTTACCCTGTGTGAGTGTGCCCCGTGCGAGAGTTACCCTGTGTGAGTGTGCCCTGTGCGAGAGTTACCCTGTGTGAGTGTGCCCCGTGCGAGAGTTACCCTGTGTGAGTGTGCCCTGTGCGAGAGTTACCCCGTTCGAGTGTGCCCCGTGCGAGAGTTACCCCGTTCGAGTGGGCCCCGTGCGAGAGTTACCCCGTGCGAGCGCTCCCTGTCCCGCAGGAAGACCGTCCTCTCCTTGGCGATACTGTTGCTTTTGTAGAAGTCCACCAGCTCATTGAGAGAGTCGAAGGGCTCGTCCCACACATAGTACATCCCAGCGCGGTTCTTCAGCACTTTGAAGTGCTGTACATGGTTCCCATAGCTACTGGAAGGAGAAAGAAACACAATGTAAGGACCCACAAATGCGTTATGATTAACCAGACAGGTCGCCAAAGGTGTTTTCCTCCTAAGGGACGCAAAAGCCCGGAAAGCTTTTCAAACAGGTTGCCATGGATATGCTGCCCCCCCCTCTGAAAAATGGCTCTGGACGTGTCGGAGGTCAGAATGAATTCTGGCAAGCTCTTTACACACATGACCCTTGCTTATTTACCTCAAGTGTGGGATGTGAGTCAGCCCTGCTAATGAGTTTCAGCACCATCCCAGCACGTAAACAAGCTGGTGTCCTCTCAGTGGACGTGCCCCGTGACGGACTGTCCCGCCCGTCATTCTGCTGCATGCGTCTCAGCAACAGTGCTGAATACAGAGCTTGTAATCCAGCTTTTATAATTCAAAATGCCAAGGGAACACAGAGAAGCGACCACACCCAGGTAAAACACAGAATGATGCAAGATGGTCGCCTGACAAGTTTATAAACGGCACTGTGCAAGTCCCCGTTTTTTGTGTTACAGTATGACAACAGCCGATATGAGGTCACTTGGCTGATGCTGTTAATTAGGCTAATATGCACAAATTCCTGACTGGGCATAGCTACCTCCAGCCTGTTGCCCATAAATGCAAACCTGACAATAGTCCGTAGCAAGGTCATTATAGTTAACAAAAATAAAAATTAAAACTACAAGAAAACATTTATAGAAACTGAAATAAGATACGAAAATAAAATGGGAAAACTACGACAACCAAAACTATACATTTTGCTTCAGAAACTAATTTAGCTAAAGTAATGATTTGTTTACCATTAATAATAATAATCTTCCACGTTCACCTATTTTGAGGATGTTAGGACGTGTGTATTCATACAGGATTCAAATCAGGCACATAAAATAATACGTAAAACGAAATAGAAATAAAAATTTTAAATAAAACCAAAAACTGGATTTCAAATGAAAATTGAAAAATGAAAAAATAAATAAAAAAAAATCTAAATTATAACAACACTGGTCAGTAGGCAGATTTGTTCCAAATTTCACAGACTTTTTCAGGAAACCACATCCTGTCCTGCAACCTGGAGTCACAAACCACATTTCAGGCTCTACTTCTTAAAAAAAGATCAGGAGGAGATGCAAAGTGACAGCCAGTGATTAGCCAAGACGCCTTACAATTTTTGACAGCTCTGAGGTCCAAATTGGCTGATTGACAATTACGTTATTTGCAAATGGCATATTTCCCTGCTGGTGTATTTTTCTGTAAAAAGGACTACAGAACACAATGATCTTCGAATCCATCATGGTAATTGTTGGCAGGGGCCCCATGAAAGCATATCATATTAGGCCCCCCAGTCCAAACCAATCCAGTTATTTTCCTAATTTTTTAGGGCCCCTGTCACTCAGGGGCCCTTGGAATCATCCTAGCTTTCCTCCCCCTTACGGCGCCCCTGATTGTCAGACACAAAACTAGTCTTTTCCAATTCCTTGAAGAGTTTGAGAAGTTTCCACGAACAGAAAAGTCCTCTGTGCCATGCTCTGAAGCTACGCTGCCCTCCTGCTGAGTCTGAGACGCAACATCTCAGTTGCACAGCGTGGCGCCTCGGGGTGGGGGCTCACACAGATCCTACACGCTGAGCTTTTACTTGTGAATAAACTGAAACAGGAGCACAGCCCCCTAGGGGAGACTGGAGCAACTGCGTAGAACAGAAAGCTATAGATAAATAAAAACAAGCCATGCCCAGACACGGAACCTGTCAAGCAGCCAGCAGCAGGACTGACGGGAATGATCGCAAAATCATTACAAGAAAAAGCGGTTTTTACGGGAATAGTAATTAAAGATGGATGAGTGTGAAAAGGTGAAAAAAAGCAAGACACATTGTTCGTTTGGTTGGTTTGGTTGGTAATCGATTGTTTTGGATGGTTTAGGGAAGCAACAAATAAGAAATGATTAGCGTTTGATTCATGTTTAGATGACTTTTAAAAAAGACATATTAAAAGGAACTCGATTGTGCCCTGCAATGTAATATAACAGGTGGAGGGATATTATTTCTGATTTCACTTAAAAGATGAAACGAGATGAAGACACAGATGCCCAGATATCCCTCTAAGCACTTTAGATAAAGCTAAATAGCGTTATTTACCGTCGCTCTTCCCGGTGCCACCTGCGACTGCGCTTTGTCCCCAAACCCTTTCTTGTGGGCTCAGCCTGCACCTTTGCAAGGCTGATGTACGATTTTAAAATGTTTTCTGGAAATTACACAAAAATACCCCTCCAAAGGGAAATGCAATCACACGTATGGTTTACGGGCACACGGATAAAAATACCAGCTGAGGAAGCCGTGCCCGGGGTGATGCCTTTGTCCCTGTCACACGAATATACGACATGATACCTGTCACCTGAATGTGCCCAGAGTTACTGGTTTCCGGAAGAATCTGAGGAATGGAGGGAGGGTGTTGCAGTGCTGCCCAAAGTGTGGTTTGGCTCAGTGCTCTGGACTCACTGCTCACCCCCCCCCCTCCCACGCACATGCTCAAGCACGCACAGGAGTGACTGTTGGTTTGGGGTTTCTGTTCTTTAACATCCTGACAGCGCATCAAGCCAAGACACAGCCAGCAGTGATGTTAAAGACATCTGACAGACATACCATCCATCAGTTTTCTGTACCTGCTTATCACAGGGGGTCCAGAACCTATTCCAGAGGCTACTGGAATAAAGCAGGGAACAACTCAGGACGGGGTGCCAAACCAATGGCAGGGCATGCTCACATACCATTCACACCTACCTATTGGCAATTTGGTAACTCCAATTCACCTTATTGCATTTTTTGACTGTGTGATAGACCAGAGTAGCTGACACAGGAAGGGCGTGCAAACTCCACACACATAGAACCAGGGCAGAGACTCAAACTAAGGTCACGGAGGTGTGATACAACAGTGCTAACCGCTGGACCACCCCTTTGATAGATATTCTCAGATAGTTAAACCCAAGGCCTAGACTCAGGAGGAAAGGCAGAGTGGGCTAGTGGTGGCTGTTAGTTCTTCCCAGATTGGCTGGGTTTTGAGTGTATCAAAGGAGAAATCTTTTTCACTATGGGATTGAACTTTTATCTCGTGAACTACATGCCAGTTCTCCTCCACACTATTTTGCAAGCCAAATGCTAGATCGGCTAATCAGATCAAAACGCAAAACTGACCCATTTAGTATTAATGCTCTACAGTTCTGAGGTAACCCTCGCAGCACCCGGCGATGACACCCCCAGCATCAAGTTGCGTAGATTGATTCAGGGGCGGATTAAATCCGCCGCCTCGTCTTTTCACACGGCGAGTGACGCCGCAGATGTAAGCTGGATATTTGGCGTGTACTGTTCCAGACACCAGCAGGTTCCTATACGGATAAGACCACGTCGTAGGAGGCGGATAACGGGGCCAAATGGTGCCAACTGTTGGGGATAAAAGCTTCTGAAGATGCGGCAAAATTAAATGTACAGACAGGCAGCACTTCCTCAGATTTGGACCTAAGTGTTAAATGCAGGGATACCATCTTTTCGAGAGGACAAAAGTTAAATAAGTCCAGTTGGACGGTTTTTTTTAATAACTGCTCTGGATGATTAATAATATTAATTTGTTCTTGTTATTAAAATACAATTAACCTGACACTTAAGAACAAACAAGCGACTCCGATTTCGCAGCACTGAAACTTAGTTGTTAAAAAAAAACGCATCGCAAATTACAAATGACAAGGAAATGCTTCAGGAAACGCGCGAATAAGCGCATGTTTCATGAGTAAGTGGACGGCAGTCGGCCACGGAAAACTGAAAGAGCACAAAAATGTTGGAGTTGCTGTGTTTGTGCGCGTCGAGTGTATTCAGGAGTTAATGTTGCCGTGTCGTTTTTATGACCGTTGCCCCACCTGTTTTCAACAATGCAAACATGTCACACGATCGCAATCAAATTCATAAGCAATCAGTTACCTGTGGGGAAGGATTTGCCTGCGGCTGCCTAACGTGGAGGGGTTAAGTCTCCGTAGGTGCTACGAGAACCCCCCGCACACTCGGCAGCACCCTGCGCAGCTTGGAACAAAGTATAAGTCCGAGATCTCGGGAGAAATATAATGTTCAGAAGAGTTTCTAAAGCAAGGGTGGTTGGTCTTCTCCAGAAAGGACTGCTGTGTATGCAGGTTTTTGCTGCAACTCACAGAGGACTGCCCTGCTGAAAAACAGCTTAGACTAACATAGCTAATTACCAGCATATGTTGTACTTTGGTACTGATAGACCAGCATCATATGCAGGTGCACCAGCACAGCTATGCTGGCCCACCAGCCACACCAGCACTAGACCAGCATGGAAAGCATCCTGATCTATGCTGTTTTATTCAACAGGGTGATTGGCTGAAGAGTCCTCACACCTGGGTTTGAACAGCTGATCTAAAGGTTATCCCAAAGACCTGCATATACACTGGTCTTTTGCGGATGACAGGCCTCCGCTGTTCAAAAAGCATCGTTAGACGAAAAACAAAACGTAATTCCTTCTTTCCACGTGGTAATCCTGCATTTTATCGCAGTCATTAAAAGCATTCGTCTGTGTGCTACGTTCCCCCACATTTTTTCCTGGTGCAGTTGTTTGCACACATATCAGGCTTGGGCTGAAAATCCGTTGGTATTCAGCTGATCAGCCTGCAACTCTCATTACCGCTGACCTATATTCCCCCTTTCAAGATCAGCGGGATGCCTGGGGGAGCCGGAACGAGAGGCTCCCCGGAATGTAAATCGTGCAGAAAGATTTGCAGCGCACACCGGCCGTCTGGTAACATCTTCCTCTGCCCGTGGGCGCTTCCCTGGCTTTCCTACCCATCCCTCTGCTCGCCACGCCTGAAAATATCCATCACGGGCGCGGTTTTTTGGCTTACAACACCTGAGGGCACAAGCCTGTTTAGACAGCACCACCTACACACACACAACTTACAGCTTTGAGCAAAAATCGGAATAAGAAATGACTTGATAAAAATAGGGTAAATTGTCTTCCTTTTTCCCTGTTTTTTTCCCCTCTAGTGTCCTAATCCACAAGAAAAACGACAAATATGATACTACAGTATTACGGAAAAATAAATTTGTGAGTGTCATACTGCCATCTTCTGGATGATATCTGTATTACAGTTGCGGCCACTATTCCCATGCCCATGAATACAGTCACGTCATTCATCTCAGATGAGGCTAAACAAGACAAATAGCTGGCTTGGAGTTCACAGCTGATAAATTAAGACGTATATTTGTTTGGACATACTGATGTAATCACAAATGTAGTCGTGTCGTGTTTTCAATCTTGAAAATGATCTGTGAATTTTGAGATTTAACATCATTAGGCATGTAGGTGTCCCTCGAGCTCATCTCGCCACATCATTCCCCCCCCCGACACATGGTAAACGGAGTAAGACAGAATTAAGCACAAAATTACGGATAGGCTAAGGAACAGCTGTCCGGGGCATTTCCCCGAAATGCATGGGGAATTTTTTGGCAGTAAAGTCACACGGCCATCTGAGCAGCACAGGATGGTTGTGAAACCATTTCTTTATCATAGATTACTTAGTTATTGTTTGTTTAGCAGATGTGTTATCATCAGGTGTGTCAGTGGACATCTGTGCGGAAACGGGAAGGCGGGGCCAAGATCTGCGCCTGCAGGGTGACTCATCTTACCCCAACTGCCCTTTACGGTTTGCATGAATGGCCGTATTTATTTGCGACATGCCCATCACGTCTGAGCAAATGCCCTAACAGCGAAGTGGAAAAGGCGCTTTTACCCTCCACTCCACGTGTATTTTTTTCTTGACAGCACGAATCCCTCACTCCCGGTTCCTCTAACTCATATTTATCCTAAAAACGGAACGACCCTCCCCCCGCGTCTTTCTGTCTTAAGCCCTTCTTCCAGTAACTTTTAATATCCTTATATAGCTCATCGTGACTCAAGACGTTTTGCTTGAGTAAGACGGTCAGTGGTAAGAAGGTCTTTACAGTTAATCGGTTCGTCCAATCACTCCTTCATTGATTTTATAACATAACTTGTTTTGGAATTTGGTATGGTTTGCATTCTCGCTATTTCATTTTTACTGATCCCAAGCTGCTGTTACATTTTCACAATGGCATTCCCTGTCACTTACGGAGGGTGCGAGAAATTTAGTGCACTGCACTATGAGATGGATAACTTCCGTTTTCACAAACGTTTTTCTAACAGCTTAGTATATACTGTAATGTATCTTTATTTCATTTTACACAATGCAAGCATAAGTCTGTATGTTGATGTGTCAGCAAAGGACTTTCTGTATATCATAAAAGCCGATAAAATTACTGAACGCTCAACATTTCCCCGCAGCATCAGATATCATCAAAATGACCTTTTTAATATTGTATTGTGAGGAAAGCTAGACACAGGCGAGTGAGATGGTGTATTCAAAGGAATGGTGTCCTGCCAAGACATAAATATTATAATCCCCAGGAGATGTTTTACGAGAATCGTGCAAAAAGAGGTATGCGATGCGTTTGTTTTTAAACCCATCTGCTTCGGGATGATTCATGCTGCATTGGTGTCTCATTAACATTTAAATACGGTTAGCATCATAAACCTCGGTAAGGCTAACAGCTGGCCCATTTTGTAGAACAAGCATCGTAAGAGCAATTAATGTGGTGTATCTCAAATGTACGTACTTATGAGCATAATTTGCGTACTTTTGTTCTCTATTTGTAACCGTTTTCGCAGTGTACGTCACGGAGTGTATAATAATTTAAACGATTCTTTATGATGGATTTTAAAATTGTATATATTGTTTTGTAAATAATATATTATACAATGTGAATAATTCAGGAAGAATAAAATACTATCACTAGACACCATTAGAAACCGAATTTAATCTCAGCTGTTCAATGAGTGTCAACCACTTAACTCAGGACTGTTCAGCTACAGTATATTGCTGCGGGTCAAAATTAACATGTCTGTAGGTGTGAAAAATATTTATACTATTGTACCACAATGCCTCAGCTCTGCTTTTATCAAAGATCTACAAATTTATTTCTGACAGAATGTAACAAGATGCAACTTTTGCGTCATGCTGGTCAATTGTTTCACAAGACTGTTTTCCATCTGAGCCTGACGTGTCTTCCTGTGAGTTCCATTAGATTGACCCGTTTTACTGTCTGACCTCCATTAGGCTGACATGTCTTCCTGCATTAGCTCCATAAGGCTGTCTTGTCTTCCTGTGAGTTCCATGAGACTGACGTGTCTTCCTGCATGAGCTCTATAAGACTGACGTGTCTTCCTGCATGAGTTCTATAAGACTGACGTGTCTTCCTGCATGAGCTCTATAAGACTGACGTGTCTTCCTGCATGAGTTCTATAAGACTGACGTGTCTTCCTGCATGAGCTCTATAAGACTGACGTGTCTTCCTGCATGAGCTCTATAAGACTGACGTGTCTTCCTGTGAGTTCCATGAGACTAACGTGTCTTCCTGTTTGAGCTCTATAAGATTGTTTTGTCTTCCTGCATGAGCTCTGTAAGACTGACGTGTCTTCCTCTGGAAACGCCATAAAACTGTGTCTTTCTATCTGAGGGGACGGTACTCAGAATTCAGCAGGTGTGTTTTCTAAAAGCCAGTTAAGTTAGTTCATATATCTTTGTGAGAATCAGTTCTCACTGTCTCTTAACCCTAATTGCTTAAACCAGGCAAATGTAAAGTAAAGTACAGAATGAAAGGATTTGGCATGCTGGATGACTCTGGTGACAGGAGACCCTGAAACGGCCTTTAGCGAGCCTTGTAGCGTGATCCTCTTTTTTCCAATTAGAGTTCAAGCCGTTTTTTAATTGGCAAATGTGTGCAGTGGATGTCGCTCCCTAAGAATAGAAATGCAGGGACGACGTGAAACGAGAGAGTCGTTAAAAACCAGAAGCGCCCTGTTCTCTCACACACTGCCTGCTTGTTTGTCTAATCCTGTCCGGGTATCCGTAACGTCATGCACCAGAGCGGAGCGGACCGGCGGGAAGTGAAACCCGTGGGTATTTCTGCGGCTCTGTGGGCGTCTTACCTGACGGACAGCGAGAATTCCCCGGGCGCGCTCTCGCTTTCCCTGACCAGGAAGGCCCCGCACTCGCGATGCTGTAGGCGTCCCTCTGCCACCTGCCTGGAGATCCGTCCCGCAAACCACCTGAGGATGAGAGCCCGGCTACAGTTAACCTCCCCGCCGATGGACTCGCCTGGGCCGCGACACTGACACTGAGCCTTGCCGAGTCGCGACCTATTTAAGTGCATCAAAGCTCTGAGGCTCTGCTAACTTTGGGATACTTACATGTGTGGCCTCAGGTTGATGTAATTCTTGGGGACATACCCCCTCCTGCCATTAAGCTCTGCTGTGTACCAGTTGGGGTCATCCTCCATGTTGGTTATCTGGATTACAAAAGTCAATCTGTGAGTTGAAGGTCTGGCGCAGTTAGTACAGAGGTTTACAGAGGCATTTAGGATGGAAACACTGCTTCTGCGAACCTTGTATTGGTTGTTTCACTTCCCCGTATAGAAATACACGCTGTAGACACAGCTACGGTTCGCAGAAGATCCACACATAGCTTGGTGTGAAGTTATGAGGTGCCTGCCCTGCTTCTGAGGCTGCAGCGGTCAGAGACTCGCTTCCCGACGGCGGAGCCAGGGATCTCCTACCTTCAGCACGTCGCCCTTCTGGAAGCTGAGCTCATCACTCTCGCTGGCGCGGAACGTGTAGAGAGCCAGAGCCTCCATCCTGTGGCCTCCAGGGAGGGCAGAGACGGTCGTCCGGAGCCCTCAGGCACGGCTGAGATTCGAGCCCCCGGGCTGGGTCCACGGCGGAGGAGATCCTGGGCTGGCAGCGGCAGTGGAGGCACACTGTCCCCGGCAGCGAGAGAGAGAGAGGCTGTGTCACCACAGCGCGGAGGAGGAGGAGAGCTTCTGAGAATGAGGCAGGGAGCGTATTCAACACAGCGTGGCCATGTGTGACACTGAGAGGGAGAGAGAGAGGGAGAGAGAGAGTGTGCTGGCAGTGGGGGGGGGGAGGGGGGCAGCTGTTACTGCATTGGTCTTTATCTTTACAGTCTGTGACACAGGAAACCAGAGCAGAAGCAGGGAGGTAAGAAAACAAACTGAAAGCCCACGGAAAAGCGTACCCTCACTGGTGGCATTTGAAAGGAAAATCGTGCACCTCTGTCGTGCGGGGGGGGGAGGCACACAGCTCAGTGTTCAGTGTACATGTGTGTGTAAACCCCCCCCCACGCACACACATTTCTCAGCGTAGCAGAGTTAGAGCACAAGAGGCGACCTCCGGGAACACAGTCTGGGGCAGAAACCTACTCTCAAGGTCCACAAGAACGTCACCGACGTTGCCGGGGTCCAGTCCGACACCCGAGGGATGTGGGTCACCGCCACTAAGAGTCCAGAATCCTCTTTGATTTTAGCGACTGGTTCTGAGTGCCGCTGTTTCATTCCCGATAGCACGGGTCCTCTTTAATAAATTATCCTTCATCTGCGGCATTAAGTCCTAGGTGAATTGCAACCCTGTGGCGTGTCACAGATCTGAAATCGCCCCACTGCGCATTAGATAATGAAGCAGTCGTTTCCTTCGTGTACACTGGCCCCCCACAGCCCCCTCTAGGCTCAAATTTGAGTGTCCTGGTGCTGAAGGCAGCATAGTGAGCTACCCTCTTAATTAGATTAGTTAATTAAATCCCAGCTGTTGCGACGGTCACGTGTTGGGACGAGCACAAGTGCGGAGCGCCTGGCATGTTTTAGATCGTGTCTGACAGGCACTTTTACGGGTGACAGTGTGTCATTTACGACCCGCTGCACAGCACTCATTCTTCAAGCCGCCTTCTCCAGAGTCGAGCGGATATACGAGCTGTTGTAGAGGACGGGTCCCACGTAATTTTCGACCGAACAGATTTTCAAACCCCAGGCATTAAGTTACAAAAACAGTCGACTCTCTCTGGTACGCGGAAGGCTGCTTGTAGTTTGTTGTTGCTGAGAAGGAACGTAAGATCAGTTCTAGTGTGTTCAGAAAGCACCTTGGCCGGCTAAGAAGGGTGCCACACTTTGTCAAAGAGAGCAGAATCAGCGCAGCATGCAGCATGTGCATCTCACACCTAAAGCCATGTCCTCAGCATTTGGAGGAGACATTTCCCCTCCCCCGCAGTCCACCTCAGAGGCAGATGTCCGCCTGGTCTTACTAGGCTTATTAGCTGGCCAGCCGCATCTGAGTAGGAGGACGTGTCTCGCCGGACCGGACGTCGCAGATGTGGATGAGCCAGGAGGCGGAAAGTGAGGCAGTAAGGGTGGGTGTGCGCTCACCTGGGCGGTCAAGAGGCCAAAAAGGAGCAGCGTGTCGCCGCGGCGGAAAAACCACGAGAGCTGGCAACCACTGAAATGTTGGCTTGTGTTCAGGCAGACGTATTTATTTTAGACAGGTGTCGGGACAAAGCTGCTAATTGCCTTATTTCTGCTGTTAGTCTTGTGCTCAGGGAAAGCCAGAGGCTTTTTTAGATTTTATCGAAAACTAATCTTAAGCATTTTATGTCGATCGTTTAAACTTGTGCAACATTTCATAATTATTTATGAGGTTTTTACCTTTTTGATTGCTCAGTCTGTTTTACTTTCTACATAAACTCTCGCCATGAATACAGCCATAATTGCTGGCATGGCATTAAAAGTCAGCATAGCTAAGTCACACTCGGGGCAGAAGCGTAGGGCCCTCATGACTGCCCTCGGGGTCCTGTAGTCTGAAGGCTGGTAGTGTGTACATAAGCGTAATTATCCCAGATTTATGGTTTGCGCGCCGATGTTCCGCAATCCTGCAGAACACATCCGAGTCTGAAATTATACGTCCTGTGATTCGAGCTGTGGGGCACAGACTTCCCGGCGTTTCTCGAGAGCCTTCGAGAACATTTTTGAGAAATAATTGGGAAAATGTTCAAGGTGCATCTGCGCTTTTCAGTTGAAGAGATTTAACTTGGAAGCTAAGATCCCCTGATAAGGGAAGCATATAACAATTAAAACAGGGCCTGGTTATAGCTGGCAGAGCCGCAGGCGGGGGGGGTGACTGGATTGTCTCAATGGAGAGAAGAAGGCATCCGATAGGAGATGTGTGACAGCAATTGTGCTGCATGAAAGGCCCCCCCGGTGGCCAGCGTTCAGACGCAGGGTGTTTGTTAGCCGCACATGTCGTTCCGGCCGGGCACAACACTAACCGCGTGCTTTCTGCTGAGCCAGTGGGGAACTTCTCAGGGCGCTATATTTGGCTTCCAGGGGCACGAGCGGCAGCCATGGGGTGTGACGTCCACGCAGGCCCTTGGCAGACTCCGCACTCAGCTCCACGGTGCCCTCAAGGACTTCAGAAGGAGGTGGAAGACTGGCAGGCAAGGCTGAGGGGGATGCGATCGCATTGCCATCCATGTCCCCCGCCTTGTCGTCAGTGACCCCCTGCGGTGACGTGTGGATGCTGTGTGCCATCCCGCAGGCCGTGTGGCGGAGAACCTTCCTGCATCCCTCCGTCCAGTGGTCCAGCCCGCACTGGCCCAGTGTCCTGCTTACCCTGCTGTGTGCTCTGGCTGTGCTGGGCTGCCACGCCGCCAGCCACCACCGCAGGAATATCCTCGCCAGTAGGGCTCACAGCAGAAGCGGCCAAGTGCCTCCCTTTCAGGATTATGCAGGAGCTTTGTGTGGCAGGGTGCCGTCGGACGGCAGCCCGAATGCACGGCATTGTCATTCAAGCGCCATGTGTCCGTGCGAAGCCCATCGCCATGGCGTCCATTGGAGCCGAGGGGCCACTGTCACTGTCACCTGCTCGCAATCTCTGTTATAGGCTTTCCTGGACCCTGTGCTATATCCGTGCTCGCTATTTTGACAGAGACGCGTTCGTACGGATGTCTATTGTTTTAGGTGTTCCAAGAACAAAACGTATCGCTTCCTTCCTGTAATAACATTTTAACGGTCAGAGAAAAATAGTACTTCAGTTTAACCATTAAAATGGCACTAAGTCTCTGATATAAATACCAAAAAATGACATACTGTACACAGCTGTGGGCAAAGAGGATTTGTAAGAGACATGTGGTTTTGTGACGATTGTAGTCAGTGATTATGAGCTGATGGAATGAATCTGAAATGCTGAAATGAAAACTGAAAATCCTGAAACGAAAGCGGGACAATGGCTCCTCGCTGCCCTGTTCGTCTCAAAAAAAACAAAGATTCATGAGCCCAGCCCCCCATCGATTCGTTATGCAGAAATGTTTGTATAAAGTAACAGTGTGATGGTGAACCTACAGTCTATACAGTTCTAACACTAACCAATAACCCTAAACCCTAACTCGAGCCTTAATACTAACCGTATCCATAACCTTACCATAAATTTACCTTGAACACTGTGCCCCAAAACCAATCCTAGCACTCACCCCAATGCTAACGCTAAACAGCTAAATCTAGAGGAACTGGGGCTGGTCAAAAAGCTCACGCGTCCCGAAGGTCACATTTATTTTCTTTAATTTTGTTAGCATGTGTTGGCAGATAAGGTTTAGCCGGTTGCACTGGCTGTGGGATTCAGGCCTTACACCACCTGCTCTCTGGCCTCATATTTTCCCCCAAATCTCTCCAAACTATGTGCTCCAGTGACAGGACGGCCCTTGCCGGCGGCTGTGCTCTTCTGCTCCTCCTAGTAGTGGGGGTGGGAGCCACGGCCCAGCTGCAGCGGCTATGGAGTGAGGAGGTGCCCCGCAGGCTGCAGGCCGTGCTGCAGCGCACGGAGGGTAGGCCTCATCTACAAGGCAGGCCCATGCCGGGTTTTGGGCCTACTTGGGGTCTCTCTAGGTTACACCGCTGTTGTTTTTTAAGAAGTCTTTTTGAAAGTAGGATAAAAGAAAGGACGCATATATGGACACTGGATTTGAAAACTTTTCTAAACTTTACTTAAAAAATGACTTGCCGGTGACTAATTTCGACACATACACAGGATGTGATATAATATACACAAATGCTACCTCCCCTTCAAGTTGTGAGGTTAATGGCGGAACGAAAGTCTAAAAAGTCATATTTATATAGCATGTTAGAAATTCCCTTCCTTCATGATCAGTAGTTTCACTCTGGCTCATTAATGTTATGACAATTTTCAGGACAGCTGCAGTCTAACATGAAATATCACAGCGTCACTCATAAGAGGGGAGCGTTTATACTTCACGCCAGTGCTGGGATAGTGCCTCTGAACACTGAAAATCATCACTTCAGAGACTATATATTGTTAGTGAAAGGAGATTATTGGATGTGGCTTTGCAGATTTACTGCTGCAAGTGGCAAAGAATGATTCCTGATATCTCTGCATCCTCACATAATGCAAGCTGTTGGCAATAATTAAATTGAATTTGCACTTTATTAGACAATAATCATAACAAACTGCCAATTAGTGTCATGCAATATATGATATCCTCCTGAGACCCAAGGAAAAAGTGTCCTTCGATTTTAGATTTTTTGTGGAGGGAATAAGACATCTTACAATTTAGATTTTTTCAAATGTATTTTTATTTCTAATTTCACAGCATGTCCTCTTTAGTGTACAACGGGAATAAATATGTTTCCTTACATCAGTGAAAAGACAGATGCAAAAACAAAATGTCCACTACAATGGACATAAATGAATGGGTGGGGTCTCAGGAGGATATAGCTTAAATGCTACAACAAGCTGCTTAGATATCCTTTCTGTAACTGTGATGGGCCTTTAATAATTATGTACAAATGGAACATTTTTTAAAAGGAAGTGAATATATAAGATTTATACACCCTTTGTTGTGTGATTCTTCAAGGACCAATTTATGAAGATGCGATGTAGAGAAACGCTTCATGACATCTAGATGTCTGATTGCGCTGCGCCTTTGTGGTTGCAGAGGTGCTGCGGTGTTTGCAGTCGTGCTGCGCCGAGGGCTACGCCGACCTGTTCGCCCAGCCCTCTCCCGCCGTCCCGCTGCAGTGGACCTATCGCGACGGCCGCCTGGTCAACCTGCCCGTCAGCCTACTGGTGGAGGGCGACATCATCGCTCTCAGGCCTGGCGCGGCGGCACCCGCGGAGCTGAGGGGTGTCCAGGTGGGGGCGCTGTAGCTGCAAGGCGAGAGCAAAAGCCAAGGCACATTGTGAGGTAGTGTATTTGTCTGTGACAGGAAGAGCAGCATGTGGTGCTGTCCCCGCTGGACAGTTGCAGGCCCCGCCCACACAATCTCCTCAGGCCGCAGCTCTTCCGGGTGATCGGGACGCCGGCCGTGGACAGTACTCAGTGAGTGTGTGGCCCTGACTAACCACCCCCCCCCCCCCACCCCAGTGATTCATGCGCCTTCTGACCCTGTCCTGGTGACCCTCTGCTCCCACAGACGCTGCCTAGAGCTGGGGCAGAGGTGGCCAGCCACTGTGTTGGACAACGAGCGCTACGCCTTGCAGAGCCTGCTGGAGAGGGCTGGGGCTCGTGCTGGTGAGGTCATTTCCTGTCTCAAAATATGATATACAGGCAGGTGGGAATGCAAATGATACATAATAAAAATGAGGGGTGGGTGGGCTGAGCCGCTGTGCCTGTGATCAGAAGGTTGTTGGTTCAAGCCCTATTCTCGGCAGAATAGTCACATGTCTGATGTGCCCTTGATCAAGACCCTTATGCTCCCCAGATAAATGGCTCACCTTGCACTAAGACCCCAGGGTTTGCTCTCACCTGTATGTGTGTCTGTATCTCAAAGGAGAGCATGTTATATGGCAGTTATAATCAAAGAAGACGACTTTCTGGCCATGGAGGGGCGGGTGCCCATTAAAATCCATACCTGTTCTCACGTATGAGGCACTGCTGGTGCTGAACTCAGCTCGGTATTTTTTCAGTGCCCCAGGTGTGGCACCGTGGCCCGTCACTCTTCTGCAGTTACCGGTGAGTCACGCTCTTGTCACACACGTGCGGGGGAGGGGACAGATGCTGCAGTGGTTTTCCGCAGGAAGCTGCAAGCTGCATGTGAACGCAACACTGATGTGAGTGCAGCTCGATTAACCAGCAGCGAGCTAGACGATTGCACATGATTAGCCAACTGTGGGACAGCCGCTCGCATGCAATTAGCCAGCGCTGAGCTAGCCACTTGCACGTGATTGGCCGGCTGTGAGGTAGCCGCTTGCACGTGATTGGCCAGCTGTGAGGTAGCCCCTTGCACATGATTGGCCGGCTCCGAGCTAGCCAGTCATATCTGACTAGCTGGAGGTGAGCCAGCCCCGCACTGACTCCTCGTCCCTGAACGCAGGTGAGCGGCGTTCTGCCCCAGTGGGTACGTCACCTCCGCGATCCGCTCCTGACAGTGACCCCAGCGACGGTGTATGTGACGTGTCTCACTGTCTCCTGACGTGGAGGTCACCTTTCTTAGGAGATGTGGAGGGTGGTCTGCAGCAGCTTCCCCGGCCTCTGCCACACGGCCAGCCTCCTCCACAGACTGGGCTCCTTCAGCGCTCCCATCGCCGTTCATCTCCGTCACCCGGACTCACGCCCCGCGCGGAGAGCCGGCCCCTTCCGCACGGGTTCCCGCATGTGTGCATGTGTGCGCTCCGGTTCTGTGCCGTGCGGACAAACAAGGGGTTCTGTCATGGCCCAGCCCAAACCCGGAGAAGGTCCTCTTCTTCAGCCAGTCTGCTGGTAGCTGACTGGCTGAAGACCCCCCCCCCCCGTCCTTTCTCGTCTCACAGAGCTTGCTGGCAGTGTGGAGCCCTGTCCCCAGGCGGGGGCACAGACACCCACGTTCACCAGGCGGGGGCACACACCTGGCGGCAGCACAGCCGCTCGCTGTGGCCTCTGGGTCTGGCCGCCCAGCTGGCATCGTGCGACCAGGACACGGCGGCCGCGCTTTGTCACCTGACCGATCACCTGACCGATCACCTGACCGATCACCTGACCCACGTGGCCCTGCTGAAGAGCCGCCCGCGTTGCCAGCCTGTGTGCCCACCGTGGGGGCTGTACCAGTTGGCAAGGATTCCGGGTAACTGGCGTCTCTGAAGTCAGCTTCCATTCAGGATTAGACAGACTACAGCCGCATGACTCATGTGTTGATAGAATGACTCGCCTTGTCGGTTTCTGCCTTTTTTTTGGAGATTTTATTTTACAGACTGATGACTCAGAAGTTATACATGGCTTTGCATTACTGTGTGTCCGTTATAGCTTAATTTCTCAGGTTCTTTATTTTTGAGCTTAAATCAGCGTGACGATCGCATTAACCCAGGAAACAGGGAGTGCCACTTGCACACAAACATTTAATAAATGCTGAGCTGTTTTACTTTACAGAATAAAGGAGAGATCATAAAGTAAGATGATTCTTTTTGTTGGTCCTTAAACCTAGAAAAAGCTCTCAGGCTGGAGAGCTGACAGGCGTATCCTGGTGATTAGTTACTTCATTTCCCCTGAGCTCTACTGATCAACAAATTCAGTGAAAAGAGAGAGACCGCAAACAATGTTTTATTTGCAAAAGATGGTTACTGCCTGATTTGAAGCAAAGTCCCGCCCAATCCCTTCAGGTGGAAACTAACCACAAGCAAAGATCACGAATCCTGTTGACTCAGAAGAGCGAGCATTATCAGTGTGAGAGTGGTCAATTCAACATGCTGATCCCCCTAAACCTCCCAGGCTCCAGGGGGCGCCAGACTTTTGCGACAGTCTGAGGCCAATGCCATGGACGACTCTCAGTCAGCTTCACTGTGCCTGTGTCTTTCCGGCAGGGTTTCGGCCTTCCGTCAAAGAGTCCTTCCAGCGCCGGATGAGCGTAGCCGCCTACGCTCTGCCTGCCGCGCCTGTACCCAGAATCTCGCCCCCTGGCAGCAGAAGCTCGTGTGCATGAGGAAGCTCCCCTTCTCCCACGTCGTCAGCCTGCTGGTCCATGACCGCAGCTCAGGTCGGACCTGGACGGACTCCCACTCAGGCTTATTTTGCCATTTGGTGTGTGTGAGTCAGATGTGTGGGATAATTTCACTGAAGGCTGTGGAGGTTTCCAGAACTTTACAACTTCACCGGATTCCCTGAAGCAGAGCCCCGCCAGACACACTTCCCCCTGTCGTTCTTCAACTATAACGTCTTAGTGTAGCAAAGAGAGTGCTGGGAGAGGTACAGAAAGTGCAGCATTGCACTGCCAATTCAAAGGCTGTGGGTTCAACACCCATACACTACTCATAAATTGAAACCCTTCCATTTACTGTAAGTGTCAGGTAAATGAGGAAATGTAATCCAGAGGTCAACAGTGGGTATTGTGCACAAGATCATTCAGTAAGTGACAGTCCTTTATATATACTATATATACATATGTATACTATATGTAGGTCAGCAGCCTGAGGTTTTGTACTAAACACTGCCTGTTGTGGTTTTGGGCTGTGGTGCATCACTATTGGTAAATGGTATAGGTGTGTTGTCTCACCAGGAAGGCTGCAGTTGTTCTCCTACGGTTCTGCTGATGTTATCATGGAAGCGAGCACTGAATTCTGGGATGGGGAGGACCTCCAGCTCCTCACAGATTCCGACAGGTCGACTCTCCTGCTCTTTCATCCTGCGGTCCGAGCTGTCCCCCTCCTCCCCCTAGCAAATCGGGTCACGCTGCATCTGATTGTGTATCTTCAGGAAGAAGGTGCTGGACTTTTACCGGAGATCATGTATGTCGGGTCAGTGCCTGGCGCTCTCATTCAAGCCCGTCATCCAGCCCCACGACCCGGAGACAGATGGGAAGTGCGTGGAGCTGCCACATGGACCACGGGCGACTCCAGCATGATGGGTAATGAGGCCGGGTGGAACCTCTCTGAGCCAGCGGGGTCTCTCCGGATGCGATGGGGATGCTCGCACTGCTAAGTGGGGCAACAACTGTACAGTAGGTGCTGGGGCAAAAGTGGTCCATGTCATCCCCTTCCAAATTTGCACCTATACCCTGCCTATACCAGCTGCAGCAGTTACAGATGATGAAAGTTAAGTAGCCTCCAAATATCATACCCATCATGCATTGCAGCAGTTAGCAAATACCACAAGCATGCTCTTTTCGTCAAATACACGCCTCATTACAAACTATTACATTTAACATTGTTTTAAGTACTGCACAAAATAATTATTGTGGTATGACTCCTACCATAATGAGATACATAAAAATGAGAGATATAAAAGCAGCATGTCACAACCTTGTGTTGTAGGTCAGTGCCTTAATCCTCACAAAGGTTTTGTATACATCAGAGGGTGACCCCTTGCTCCGCCCACCAGTTTGCCCCTGGCTCTGATCTCATTGGCTGATTCCCACCATGAATATGCACACTTGTCACACTTCAGGGGACGAGGCTGAGGAACAGCCATCAGGTCCAGGAAACCCCCTCCTTCCCTTGAAGGAGCATATCTTCCTGGGCCTGGTGTCCTCGCAGTACCAAACCCGGCCAGACATGGTGTGACTCATCGCCAGCTGCAAGAGCGCCTGCATCCGCTTTGTCTACTTCTCCAAAGAGGAGGAAGTGAGGAGTAAGGTAGGAGTCGCTCTGTTTGCGCTGCTGCTGGGGGATTTTTGTTTTTCTTGAAGAGAAATAGAAATAGACTCCTTCCTCCGTAGCTTCCTTAAGATGGGGTTCAGTAAAGAAGTTTGCTGCCCCCCTATGGTCAGTTTTAGTAAAAGTTCAGTTCAGGTTTTACGTCTGTCATTCACGAAAGCAAGTGTCTTCCTGAGTTTACCGGTTGGCCTGAACTGGTTAGTTTGATCAACATTTTGGTCAGGGATGCCGAATGCCGTTTCCTGTGCCAATGGTGTTCGTCATCTTCCCAGCAATCTACACATTGCTGAATTTGCTCCATCAAACCTGAGAGAGTCTGTGTAGAGTGACCATCTGTACATGCACCAGCCTGCCAGCAGCTGCAGCAGCTTCCTGTTGACCTGGTGTAGGGCGCGGCGTGTGGGCCCAGCTCTCAGGCCTCCCCCGCGGCTCGCTGCAGGTGTTTGCCGAGAAGATGGGCCCGGAGACGGGCTGGAAGTGCCGCATATCGCTGCAATCAGACTGCCTCCCGCTGGACACCGAAAGCCTGGAGCACCCCGGCAGGGGGGCGTGCGGGGAGCAGGAATGCGGTGAGTCTACAGTGAGCCTCCAGACCCGTCCTCCTTTGGGGCTTCGAAACGCGTACGAAACAATCGGCCTGATCACCAAGGATCGGCCATCAGATTGTTAAACAACTGGTGACCTGCATCTGTCCCCATTGCATTACATTCCACATTGCTGTTTCCAGTACATTCCAAAATGTATATTTCAAAGCCCTTTATCAGTATCAATTACTATACTGTGCTCTGTTTGCATGTCAATATCCCCATTGCATCCCATTTGTTTCTAATATATGCACTTGTTCTTATATCGTCTTGTCCCATCTTTGACTGCATTGCTGTCTGTTCTGTTGTCCCCCCCTTACTTCACCTTTCCCCTCCCCATGACAAGACAGGAAATCATAAATAATACTGTGGTAACAGCTATATTTATGACGCAGCTCCTGTTGGGTTATTCCACAGAATGCTGTAACTTGCTGTGAGACAGGGGCTGCGAAGCCCTGTTGTTTATTAGCCTAACAAACAATACAGATTGTTCTTGGTTCCACGTTCTGAATGTCCCTGTCGTGCTGTTCTCGGGGTCCCCATCTGTGCGATGTCCGCTCGTCCTTCTCCAGGGGACAGCCTCTTGGACGAGGATGTGAGGCACGTCGGCAGAGAGGCAGGACGTGCCCAGGACAGCGAGGGAGCTTGTCTGATTGAAGATTTGAACAGGGTGCGAGAGACAGCCGGTCGCAGGTCCTGCGTCCTCCATGTGCATTCACGCACGTTCCGAGTGAAAATTCCCCGACAATAATAATACAGCCCTTGTGGGAACATCTGTTCAGGGTGAAACACCTCATAATTTTTTTTTAGCAGATTTTATTCGGTCACCTTTTTTGGTCTGGGGTTGCGGTGTAAACGTCAATGAAAACTCCTCAGAGCGGTAGGTGGGAACAGCCGCATGCATGTCCCTCTGTGCATCTCCAGGCCAAGCTCCCGAAAGGCATGCAGAACATACGTCCCCACCTGGAGAACATCGATAACGTCCCCCTACTGGTGCCCCTCTTCACCGACTGCACCCCCAGGAGTATGCCCCATCCCAGCATGCTCCACTGTGTGTCATGTGCGCCGGCCTGACCGTTGGGGATGCCCTTCTCCACAGCCATGTGCGAGATGGTCCAGGTCATGCAGGAGTATGGAGAGGTGGTCTGCCGCCTGCGGAGCAGCCAGAACATTAACGTAACGCTGACGTAACGCTATACACCGTTAGACGTAGCTACAGACTCGCTGAGCCTTGCCACACATGGGGGCAGCCTGGTCGCCATCGCCATGGTAATGTGACGGTGCCCCCCGCAGCATAGCCCTGGAACCCCTCCTGCCCTCCAGCTATTGGACAGCTGCCAGCCCGCCTGCCACCCAGCTACCATGTGACCATTTGGCCCACAGCTTCCCAGCACAGCTCTCCAGCACAGCTCCCCAGCACAGCTCTCCAGCGCCCTCTATGGCCTCCCGTGCACCATTCGCCTGGGCCCACAGGACAACACCACCAACGCCCGGCTCATACAGCAGGTCCGGGGTCGGCTATAACCCCCCACTATCAGCCTTTGAAGAATCATTCTTCTTCCCTGTGGCTTCATTTGGTCTCTCCGTTCTCTCTCCCCTTCTCAAGGCCCACCACATGACAGCAGGGATCAGGAAGTGCTTTCTGTTCCTCTTACAGTGTCAGCTCTCTCTTGTCCTCCTCCAGGTGCCTTTCATTGGTACTTCTATAACATCCATTCATCATCCAACTATTTTCCTTGACTGCTTCCATCCGTCCTTCCATCCATCACTCCATCCATCCATCCATCCGTCCGTCCATAAGCCTGACCCATACAGGGCTGTGGTGTCCCCCCCCCACCCAAGGTGGCATCCTGTTTCCACCAGCAGTCTGCTCCTTATCTACACTCTCTGAGCCCATTTTTCCACCCAGATTCTGCCCTGCCCCCTCCCCTGAGCACCAGTGATGTGCTCGGTCTCTCCTGCCTCTACTTTCCTCTTATCAGGCAGGAGCTGCACTCGCAAAGGCCCCCGACAGCCTGGCCGGCTTCTGAGCCCCATGCCAGCGGCATGTTACATAAGCTGCCCACTGACATGCTGACATTGCTGAACTCCGGCTGCTCTGATGACTTTAGTTCACACGCAGAGACACTCTGATCTGAATCACTCACATGATGGATGGCATTCAGTATGTTGCTCAAGGACACAAGGTAGAACCTATAACTGGCTCGTCCAGGCCTGTAACAGGGCCATTCTGGGTACTGACCTGGAATTTCTCCAGTAAAAAAAATTAAGCTGTATAAACAGTTAAAATGTGAGCATCAGATACGTCATTTTCAATATAAAAGATCATGTATATCATTTTCATCAGTATTCCTGGTAAAGTGGATGTGAGGACTTCCCAATTCAAAGTTCAAGGATCTTTTATTACGTGTGAATAGTAACCAGGAATTACTTACTTGCATCACGCAGACCATAGTAACACATACTGTAAATACAATAAGTATGGCAGCTGGTGATAAACGACAATAAATAACAGAGAATAGCACTATCACAGACAACGCCATAAGCAACAACTTAGCATTCAGACCTGTAAGAGGTGCATTGTGTCTATCTGGGCAGTGTCAAGGTGTTAATGGTAGCAGATTCTCGTTTGGGCTTTAATCTGGGAGCTTCTTTTTGAAGCGAGTCTTTATCACATGACCCCTTCAGCTTGATATCGGTTCACACTCCAGTCTTCTGCTCGCTCTCCCCAGCGTCTCTCTCCTCTGCAAACCTACAGACGGATCCATCATGAAGGTTCTCACTGGAAAGAATGCTCGCTTTTTGCCTAAAAAGGTAGTGCGACCTAAGAGGGGACCTGCACCCCCGAAAGAGGCCTCTAGGCCCCCAGAAGGGGTGCACTGGTGTGAGCTGACATTGCCTTTCTGTCCCCCAGACCTAGAGATTGTTCATGCTGTACTTCCTGGTGAAGTTTGGCCCCACCGCGTGCATCTGCCTGACCTGTTTCTGCCTCATGCTGCATGGATTCTGCCTCCGCATAAACGTCTCCGACCCCCCTGGCTGCCATCTGGCCGCAGTGCTAATGTAAGCTTACTTCCATCCTGAAAAGTAACGCGTGTCCAATCGGCACCGATGCTTGTTGCCTGGAAACCGGAGTCCTTTCGCCCTTGGTACAGGAACTCCACGGACTCGTCCCCTGACTGGTTTGGGGAGCACTCTGACGGCCTTGCTCTGGCACAGAAGATAAGCGCTTTCTTCGTGCTGCTTTACGCCAGTGAGTGCAGGGACTCACTACGGCTCCTGTCATGGGTGTAGAATTAGAATCTGCCTCGGGCTTCCGTCAGGGGATGATGTTTAGGTGTGGAAAATGCACGTAGCCCACGGGGGCACATAGCCCACAGGTGGGGGGCGCTGTGTGGCTCAATGGGTTAGGATGCCATACCAGGGATTTGAAAGCCACTGGTTCAAATCCAACCATTGCTCAAGTAATTTCACTGTTGTGCCTTTGTGCAAAACTATTACCTATTGGCAGTGTGAACTTCCAATTGCTCCAGGGATGGACTGACCCTGCTTTCTCAGTTGTGCATTGCTTTGGAAAGAAGTATCTGTTACATAAGTGTAATGTGTTCCATTTCTGGATGGTCTGTGTTCCAGTGTCTACATCTGTGAGTCATGTCCACCACTCTGCCTCCATATGGAGGCAAAGAGTCCCTTCAACAACAGCTACTGGTGTGCAGCTCTCACTACTGTGTAGGTTCCTGTCATTCATATCTGCAGAGGTGTGAACTCTTTTCTGTGTAAAGGTGTATCTGGAGAATTTTTCTGTTTGGATTTTTTTTAATTCAGTTTTTATTTTTATATTATTTTCAATTTTCATTTGAAATCCAGTTTAGTTTTAGTTAGCTTTCAGTGTTGTTTATTCGAAAAATATATCTCTATCTAGTTTTAATATATTTCAGTTTCAATTAAAATTTTTAATTTGAATAATCATATGTCTAAGAACAGACTGAACGTTGTACTGCTATTTTATGTGTCTGGTCTTTAGAGAATCCACATGAATACACAGGGCACATTATGTCCTCAAAATGGACAAAATATGGTCCAGGTATTAAGTGATTAATTAATTTCACTAAATAGTATTAAAAATCGAAAGCTTGTTTAATGTTGGTTGTTAGTTTTGGAAGCAATGTTTTTCATTTAGTCATAGTTATTTTATTTCATCTATCCATTTTCTGCAACTGCTTGTCCATTTGTCATGGGGAGGGGGGGGGGCAGATCCTATGGGCACAAGGCAGGGAATAACCCAGGACAGGGCACACACACCGACCTGTGGGCAATTTGGGAACTCCAATTAACCTCAGCATGTTTTTGGATTGTGGGGTGGGGCACAATCCCATAGTACCCAGGAGAAACCCCATGGCGACACGGGGAGAGCATGCAAGCCCCACACACAGAGAACCCTGACAGAGACTCAAGCCCAGGTCCCGGAAGTGTGCAGCGACAGTGATGTCCACTGGACCACCCCGGCTGTCAAAATAACGTCTTATTTCAGTCTATGAAGATGATGTTTTAGTTTCCCTTAATGGTAATCATGGTAATTCTGTTAGCTATGTGACTCCTCATCATCAGCTGCTTCATTAGGAAGTTCATTAACCGCACCTCTGTCAGGAGTCTGCACCCCCCCTCTGATATGAAGCTTTCTTATGGGTGTTCAGGTTTCCATCCGGTCTGCGTCCATGCAGTGAGGCGGACCGGCGTTTCTAAATTGCCCATAATGTATGAGTCTGCATGTGCCCTGTGATGGACCGGCACCCCATCCAGGGTGTCCCCTGTCTCATGGCCTGTGATGGACTGGCACCCCATCCAGGGTGTCCCCTGTCTCATGGCCTGTGATGGACTGGCACCCCATCCAGGGTGTCCCCTGTCTCATGGCCTGTGATGGC